TCTTCGTGCCATTTTTAAATCTCTTGACCTGATCTCTTGTCACCCAACACTTGGACAGTCACATTGTAACTTATCAATGAGATGTGTGATAAAAAAAAAATGGAAAAATGAATGAGAAATATGTTTCATCTGAACAGATTTCATTCAGAAACTAGTTTCAGAAGTGGAGGACGGCACCAATGCTGCAGAAGGCGAACAGAGAGATGTGAATAATATTTATCCCCTACTGGTGCATCACAATGGAGGGAGGGACTCATGGAATAAAGGTTAGAAAAAAAACATAAATTTGCACATAAACAGGAAAAAAATCATCAAATTTTGTGGTGAAAGCAGATTGTACAACTCTAAATTTTATAACTCGTTTCAGGGGTGAAAGATTCAGCACAGCAGGATAAGTTTGCAAACATGGTGAGTTTGATCATCTGCACATTTGTACACTAATAAGACATAGACAGAGAAGTCTTTCACAAAAACAAGTGAAAGATGCAGAAATGTTGAAACAATGAGAAGCTCAAAGTATCATAAAATAAAAAGAGTATTCTGAATGTGTGGGTAAAGGCGAGTTTATGCCAGTGAAAACAGTGTCCCTGTGAACGCAGGGTCTGCATCTAAATCATCATTTTGCTTATTTTTAGGTCGAGGAGCTGAAAGAAGTTGTACTGAAATTGGCTGCCGCTGAGAAGCTTCGGTCACAGGGTTTCCTCAGATCAGAGCAGAGCCTCCCGAAAACGAACAAAAGAGGTGCGTGACTCACATGCCACACCTGCTCGGCCACCGAAACGCAACGATCGAGTGAAAAAGGATGTTTAATTTCTGGGATGGAGTTTTTAACACAAGCTAAGATTAATTATTTACACTGTAAACAATGACAGATGTATAAGCTTTAAGCATTTAACACCTTTTATAACACATGTAGCATAGCTTTTGCATGATATAAAGACATTTTTTATTAAGGTGAAACAGTACAGGTAGAAAGGTTAAAACATTTCACTAATAGATATTGCCATGAAACTCCTCCAGAGGATTACACGCATTAGGAATATTAATATTATTTCTACTGCTACTACTATGGTGTTTAATAGAAGGCAAAGGCAAAAAGATAAAGCTATAAATTTCCAAAACTTTATGTCTTCCTTCATATTTGCTAAAGCCGTTCAGTGGGTTGATTGTTACCAGGCTGATTTTATATTTGACTATATCTAGACTTTCCACTAATCTAGATGATTTGTTCAACCTCAGCTGACTGCAGGTTTCACCAGCCTTATAGACAGTACACTATGGTCATAAAAGACCGTAGCGTCTCCTGCCTCTATAGTGATGATTCTTACTTTCTCAGTGTGTCAGTCAGTGTTTGAAATTCTCTGTGAAAAGTGCTCGTGATCATTAATCAGTTTAAGCCACAACAGTTTGCAAATCATCAATGAGAAAATGAATGTAAAGCTGCTGATTTTGCTTATTTTACAACTTTACTGTTTATAAAGTGAGTGAAACCAGCAGTCAGCTGAGACTGAAGATGTGGGTTGTATGAGTTGAATTTGCAATGAAAATTCTGCTGCCAGGTAAACAAATGATCTTTCTAACATACGCAAGTTATACTTTCTCTATCTACATTTGGACTCACTTGCATAATTTCTTCAGAACCAAAATCCAAATATTGGATAAAGCGATAAAGTGATTCTGGAAATCCCATGTTATAAAATAATCTATAAGTAAGACCCAGAATGATATCTGAACATCCCCTGTATATAATCATTCAGGATATATGCATGGAAATTAAAATGGAGAGTTTTGTCGTGATGAGTGCTGCTGAAGGGAAGATTTCTACCTGAAACAATGAAAAAGAAATCTCATCTTGACATTGACTTGAATTGGCTTTATTGTAAACATCCATACATATTCACTAAAAACCACCAGGAAAAAGAATGTCTAAAAGATATCACAGTGAACCTTCTAAAGCCAAATACCAACATACAGCTTTCTGAAATGTTATATTTAAATATGCAATAACTATGATGCTACATAGTTTAAATACAGTGCACCAGTAGATAACATGCAAATTTCAAACTTTAACATTATCAGATTTTTTGTTTGCATGCTATCTCTTCGCTGCTGTATCACTGGAAATGTCCCTGATGTGAAATATCATCTTAACTTATTACTGAAATAGTAACTGAGTAAAACAACAAACAAATAAAGGTCCCCTTGCATTAAACAAAACAGTGTTCAGTATTTGTATTGTATCTGTAACCTCCCTGTGAATATTTAAGATAATATTTTATCCTGTAAACATGTGCACTACACTACAGAGGAGTAAGTAGAGTATATATAAGATATTAATGCAATTACAAAGCTCAGATATGTTCAGTTAGTCTAGAAAAACAAGAAAAACACCTTGAAGGGAAAAAACTGACAAATAAAAGATGCGAGTAACATCTTTTTTTCTCTCTTTGATGTCCCCGACAGCATGTTTCTGGAAATACTGTGTGACCAACTAGAGCTCAGAGACAGCAAGTACGATGTGGTTTCAGCACGGCCTGGTTTGAAGCGCTCTCCCTCTTCATCACCAGTTTTGTTTCCCACCACGTGGTATATTCATCGTCTGCACCGGATCAACAGAAGATATATTTTTGAAGCTGTAAAAGGTTTTTTTTGTGGCTGAAAATAAACTTGAATATCAGAAATGCCGTTTCGCGTTCCCTGGTTTTACCCGTGAAAGTTCAAATGAATGACAGAAACCAGATTATGACAAAGAAATGTGGTATTTATTTTCATTTTTTTTTTTTTTTTTTTTTTTTTTTTTTTTTTTTTAAATGACATCAGAAACAGCAGTATGCGACATTACGTGATGGCAGAGCTTCAGTTCATCCTTTGTCATTTTTTTTTTTTTTTTTTTTTTTTTTTTAATAAATAGGACAGGGGGAATGAATGAGAGAGAGAGGGGGAGAGAAAGAAAGAAAACCCAAGGGGAGAAGAGATGGTGAGAAGGGGGGGAAGAGAGACAAAAAAAAAAAAAAAACTCCTGGGTCACCTGTATGGAGAAAAAACAAACAAACAAACAAACAGACAGAGGAGACAGCAAACAACAAAGAGCAACATAATAATAGAGAAAACAAAGCACCATCACAATAAACTAGCTAGTCATAGATATCAGTATTTACTAAGTAATAAACGATATTGTGCAGCACGCAAGATAGACAGCGCACAGTGTGCTTTGAGGCAGCAGCCAAGAAAGCTTTAGTCCGCGTCTGTGAATACCCATGTGTGCATACCTGTGTGGATCAGCATGCTTGCATTCCAAAGGTTTCTCCATGTAATGATCTGCTAGGGAGTGTGGGGGGGCCACAGCCCCGTCCTCCAGGGTGTGAAGCGGGTATGGAGGAGATCAAAACTCCAGACATCCAGAGGACCCCAGAACACAAGAGACCATGGAAGACCAACAGAGGGGCAGCCGCGCCACTGTTCCAGTAAGAGCTGAGGAGAGTCCCAGATGAGGGCTCACTCAGCAGCCGCGGAGCAGAAGCCAGGGGGGGTTGCAGTGACGCGCCCGTGAGCTCCGCCGGCCCCCAGCTGCGCCTGAGTGACCGAGCCCTAGGCCGAGAGGCCGGGGGCACCCCACCTCCAAAGGGGCCCGAGCGAGCCCCAGGCCCCAGGCCCCGACAAGCGGCCGCCAAGGAGTGAGCCGGTGTGTACCCGGACGCCCACCCCCAGACACAAAGAACCACCAACACACCGACACCTGAGGGAGTCCGCCACCGGCAGGGGAAGTGGTGGTGGGTGGAGATAGGCCTCCAAACCTTGGAGGGCCTGAGGTGTCCCAGAGAGGTGGCGTCTGATACCCAACCTGACATATAGACACAGACATACAGGCACACACAGACACAAACATCCATTCCCACCCTCATGCTCTCATATGCACTCACTCCACACTCAACCAACGTGGAGACAGACATAAAGAGACGCTGTACACACAATCACACTCCCCAAGCGTACTCTACAAACCGGGTCTAGGTACCCTTGCCCCTGGAGGGGGGAATTGCACCCAGACCCAGGTGGTGTTACCCTTTTCCCTGCGGTGGGGAGAGGCAGACCACCCCGACTCCGCAGCAGCAGGGAGGCCCCACACCCCAGACCGCAGTCGGACGGCCAACTCCTCCTACTAGCCCCCCGCTCCAGCAGGCCGCAGAGAATGGGGGTGGGAGAAGACTCCAAACCTCCCTCCACCCGCTCATTGTAGTGTTGATGCATATGTGTTCTAAGGTGCAATTAAAACCCAGGAGGGCATGGAGCTACCTGCCAAGGAGCAGCAGGTAAGCGCATGGTCCCTCCTGCTAGCCCTCAATGACTAAGTGTATTTAAAATTGAGAGGTGGGCAACGACGTCAGGGGTGAGGTATACACCCTGATGGTGATTTGGACTCCGTGATTGTGCCCACCCCCAAGATCCTATATGTATGTGTAATGAGAGTGTGAATAATGTGAATGTCTAAGTTGTGGGATAAAATTGAGGCAGAGGCAGCCAGAAGGGGACAGGGGGGGGGGGTAGCCTCCTCTGCACCCTGGTGACATACCCCCACTCCAAGGCCCTGCATGTGTGGGTGGTTGTGGAGGAGCGGGAAGAGGGAGGCAGCTGGAGATGGGGAGGGAAGGAAGGGAAGGGTATTTATTTTCATTAGTGTGACAGTGTGTGACAATTCAGTGAAACTGTATTTGTACACAGTAAGATATACAGGAGTGTTTTACATAAAAATGAACTGTTTACGCAGCCATTGCTCACACTAACACAATCATACATATTTCTATGTGGCTGTTTTGATTGTAAAATGCAAAAAATATTGATATTTACACTATAAACAAAACTCTACTAAATATAAATCAACAATCAATTGCACATATGGCCTTTTTTTGTCTGTGAGTGACCTGGATAAACAGTAAATGCCAAAACATTTGACTTTGGCATGTCTTGGAGCTCTAAAGCTATATGAGCTTGAGGATTTTAGGGTGTCTGGTTCACTGCCACAGTTTATTTTTGAAGTTTGCAGTGCCCTCTACAGATCACCATCTCTACACACATGGTTACAATTGATAAAAAAAAAAAAACACAGAACAAAGGAGTGAGATGTTTATTTCCTCTTGTTGGCCACGCTCAGGTAAGCCTTCTCAATTTCAATGTCGGCCGGGCACGTCTGTTTGAACTCGTCTCTCTCGTCAGCGTTTTTAAGGTATCTCCACACGCCTGTGAAATGGGCTGGAATCTCAAAGTTGCAGTACTTTTTGGCAGAAACCTAAAATAAATAAGTGGAGAGGAAAGTGTTTTAGGAAGTCCAGGGATCGGTTAAAACAAGCACTTATCTCATTCAAAGTTTAGTAGTTCGCATCATAGGTTCAGGCCTTCAAGATAAAAGAAGACAAATTTCACGACTGTTAGATGTTTAGTGATGTATGAAAGTAAACCTAACACATGGGTCATGTACTATTCCTTTAGGTTACTAAGACAAAATATCAACGAGGATGCTTTTAAACAGTGTTACAGGCACATAAATGCTAAAAGCAGGTCACTTTAGCCAGTTGCTAGGTGGTTGCTAGGCAATATAATCATAGCATAATATTTGACATAGGCGAAAACCTTCAGTAGTTCAGAAGCAGAAGTGTGCCAAGTCTGGTTGCACAACTGATGGTCTGGGAGAAGTTTGCAGTCAAACACACTCATGAACAGAGATTTAGCATTTATGAAAGTGAGAAGATCAGGAAAACTATTGAGTTTCCATCTGAGGTAGTTTATTTTACTGTATTTTGCGGTTTAAATTATAATAATCAGGATTAAATAAGGATAACAAAGTGTCCAGCTATCTGTTCACACAGGGATTCTTCTGATCCACTTTAGATGATCAGATGATTTTTTCCTTCCTTCCACCTCTGTTTCCTTTCAGCCATTAGTGCACAGATGTCTCACCCTGATAACGTGCAGTTTGGGCAGCAGGTTGCAGTCAGCTAAGGTGAGTCTGTCGCCGTCCAGGAACTTCCTGTTGGAGACGGCGATGGTTTCCACTGAATTGTGGTCGATCTCCTCGGGGAGGGGGCTGTTCAGGTAGTCATCCAGACGCTTGAACTCCCGCAGCAGGTTTTTCTCTTGTACTGTCAGAAACACAGAGACAGGTTTCATGGTGTGTTTTAAGCACTGCTGGTCAGACACGAGAGCTGCGTTTAAAAGCAGTTACCAGGCACCTGTACTTTATGTGAGAGCTTCAATTTTATGCAGTTTTATGCATTTGAGGGAAATATTGTCCTTGGTACCAGTGACACCACTACTGTAATTTATGTAGTTCCAACCTACTTTGCATTAAACTTCTATCTAACGTGCAAAAACTCGGTTAGCATGTCTCATATTTTAGCACATTTGGGGTGAATCTTGCTGATGCTGAGATGCACAATCGTTATACATGATGACAACGTCAGGTCAATGTGGTTAATCCTTCACAGCAGCAAATAAAAAAGGGGGCTGAATATTTTAGTACATATAATAGTTTATGTAAAACAAAATATATTTCAACAGGTTTTTGAACATGTTTTGAAGTTTGTAAAGGAATTTAATTGTCCAGAGGTTTGATCCAAATAGAGGTTTTAGGATTTTTCTCTTTATGAAAGCTTCATCTTGGTGTATGTGGACTGTCACGTTTCCATGTTTTGATTTGGAGGAGCTTTTTTCTTTTGTTTGCTTTGTGGGTGTGCGTCTGGTTTTTTTATTTGTTTCTTCTGTTGTAGAAAAATTGAAAATATGTTGGGAAAAAAGTTTAGAGTGAGTGTAATGAGAAAAAGCTCATTTTAACTATACTGACTTGACTTGAACCAATATGCAAACACAAATGCAGTTCAATACTCTGCAACATAGCAATATTGTATCAATGCTGCATGTCTATTAAATCTAACTTACAGGCGTTATTTGGGCTGTTTTTGATAAAAGCGGAGAACTTTGCAAAGATGTCCGCTCCCACATCAAAGGACTCTTTGTTTACCGGGCTGAGATGAGGATACCTGCAAATCGAGAGCAGAAAAGAGCGCATCGGTTCAGTGAACCGTCATCAACATCATAAGATGTTTATGTAATGATTAAGCGTGACGGTACCTGGGAGGGGCCAGCGTTTGTTCGAGAAACTCTTCAATTTTGATGAAGTCTGTTTTGAGGGTGCCGTTGTAGAGGAGGAAAGGAGGGTTAGTCCCAGGGGCCAGGTCTTTGAGCTCAGCTGGCTTCCTGGAGATGACACAGATTGATGAACAAAGGAGAGGAGAGAATTTGAGTTCTCTTAAGCATACCAAAATAGTAGTTTATCAAGACTGTCAGAATCAAATATTGTACTCTAAATTAATGAGTCAACACTGGCTATTAGTTTAGTTATGAAAATACACAGTGATGGGAGGGGCTGCCTTTTTAAAGGCCTGTTTTGTGTGCGCTCTGAATCACTTAATTATCTGTATCCTTTCAAAGTTTCCAAACCATGTTTGTTTGGCACGTAGTGGCCCTGAGAAATTCACGCAATAAAGCCTCAATTAAAGGAGGTGATTGTTTGAAAGTGACACAGAGGTCTTTGTACGCTCCTGCCTCAAACTTCTACAGAACGGAGCGAGTAAAACGTCAATAGGCGTTCAATTGGATTAGATTACTGACATACATACACACACACACACACACACACACACAAAAAGGTTCTCAATTTCTCCCTCGCTTTCCGCATAATTGAGTTTTGTGTGAAAGTCCCCACGACCAGATGCTCAGGAAGTGTTTTTTTCCACTGGAGCAGTGCTTACTTCCTCATATCAACAGTGGTCACTGTAAACTTCACTCCTTTGAGCCACAGCACCATGAAGAGCCTCTGACAGAAAGGGCAGTTCCCCACGTTTTCACCGTCATGTCCAGCCTGAAAAATACAAGAAATAAATATCCCATGAGTCCAAAATGTTCTGTTTAAGTGACTTCACTTTTTCTCTATGATCTCATCTGCAGATTAATAAAGTTATTTTGGAGCTGAGAAGGTGCGTCTGGGATACACACAGTCGATTTCCTATGTGGAGGAGGAGAAACCCTGGCATTGTGTTGTAGCGGAAAAACAACCGACACCAACGCAGAGACGTTTAAAGGTCCACCACATATTGACCATATGTTAAATAACAGTGTGAAATGTCTGGAAATGATTTGCTTAAATGAGAAAATTGATGACACTCTCAAGTCTGTGTGGTAAACCTGAAGAAAGCTAGTTGGCGTAGCTTAGCTTATAATCACTGCTAGCTAGATGTGTATTCGCCTCTTCACACCGAATACAAAGCAACTGATATGAATTTGTGTTGTTAGACACAAATTACGGCAAATCCACATTAACTTATGTGAACATTTAGGGAGCTCCTATCAGTCGAGATTCTCTAGATATCACTGACAATCTCAAATAGAGCACACACTCATTGCTACAGATTCTGTCAGCCTGAGGTTTAAATTGACTTCTCTTTTAAAAGAGAAAGAGAAAAAGGAGAGCGCTAAGAGAAAGTGAGAGAAATCAGATGACTTCTTGGTAAGTTTTGAAATACTGTAACTTGATTCCAGCTGTCGGTTGTGTTCGTCCTACTCATATTGGCTGTTTTGAGTGAATATTTGGGGGTTTTCAAAACCACTGCAGCAACTGGACTGACAGGAGTGATAAAGATGTGAAGATAAAAGATAAAGTTTTAAAGATGGATGTAGCCTTTGGGTCTGAACAAAGTTCTTTTTAAAGGCCACCAGGGAGCAATATATGTGGTTACAATAGCCTTCTCTGGGGACCTGTGTAAACACTCCTGGTGAGCTTATGGGCTTTCAGGCTGTACTGGATAAAATGTTAAATTCATTCTAAGTGTCAGAAAGGAAGATTAAACTCACTGATCAGTGAGCGTGTGCCACGTTCAGTATCAAAGCGGCAAGATGCCGACTGCAAAGGAGTTCATCTCGTATCTTTAAAACAGGACTTCACAATCCAACATGTGACATCACGCTGCTTCCATCTTTATCCTGTCTATGGTAACACGTGGTAACTTCACTTCCAGAAAGATCAGCGGTCAGCTGATGTTTCCATTTGTTTGAATTTGTGCAAAAATTGTAAAAAATATCACTTGTAGCTTTAACAGGTTTATATTCTGGGCTCTTATCAAGTCTCATCAACGACAACATGCCATTTTAGACTTTGTTTACATTCTTCATTATATTAAGTAATGAGATATAACTCATAAGTGCTCTTTAGAGGTATTTTTCTGCTACTTTTTGGACAGTTATTACAGTCTTTATGCTAAGATGACTGGATTATCTGCTGGCTCCAGCTCCACATGAGAGTGTTACTTAACTTTTCATCCAACATCTGGCAAGAAGCTGCACGTTTAAGTGGCTGAAATATGGCACATCTACCACTCTATACTGCCTTATTTTGTTTTTGCTATTGAGCTGCCTTATTGCATATTTCAGAATACACAGTTTCTCTGCACTTGTGCCTCAACTAACTAAATCAGGGAAAAAAATCAGAAGAAAAAAAGAAGTAAGAAAAAAAAAGAGAGAAACTTTTGTGACTTTTAGATAGATGACTGTATTTGAATGTGTGCGTAACTAAGGTGGGTGTGTCTGTCCAGGCTTGAGGCCAGTCTCCATATGCTTCTTGCTCCTTCTGGGTGTGCTCTGATAAGTTGGAGAGTGTTTCTGATAAGAAACCAGCTATGGCCCACACCGAGGATACAAACACCCCAACATCTGCAGCGTATGGTATCTGGGGACAGCACCAATCAAAAATAGAGCTGCCCTCTGATTGTTGCTGCCTCTATGGCAATAATTGTGGACCACTGTTGTTTGACAACACTCATAAATGAGCAGCAAGCCTTTGTCAGAGTGCCCCTTTTCTTCAGAAGATTGTTTTGACAGGTTTAAAATGGACATGAAAGGACTGACCTTGATGAACAGCTCGATGCTTGGCTCCTTATCAGAGCTCTGTCGAAGTGCCATTTTATCCCCCAAAAGTTTTTGTTCTGTTTTATTTAAAAAGTCCAAGTGCTCCTATTAAAATTTCCCCCGAAGTCAGCAGTTGCAAAAATCCACAAAGCTGAAGAGAGGAAGCTGAGTGTGGTGCTGTCGTAGAGGCACTCTCCTCTGGTTTCACGTGCTTTCTGTGGTCCTGGGGAAGTCTCACACCTCAGGGCTGCCTGTGTTTGTCTGAGGGCTCCTTGGAGGCTATCGCTCTGAACATATTTTACAAGTTAGGGGGAGAGGGCGGATCCGAGTAATGGGCGGGGTACATGCCCCACACTTATATACCCAGAGCCTAGCTCTATGAGGAGAGAGCTTAAAATAGCTCTTCTGCACATTGCAATACACAGGAAATGATAACACAGGGTGACTCACATAAATGAGCGCAATTCATGAGAGCTCCTCATTCCAACAGCATTTAAGATAAAAGAATTCGTTTAATGGAAGACATCCACTGTGTTTTAAAGGGCAGTAGTGAGACAGAAAGTATGAAATGTTTGCTTTAGTCATTAATAACATGTAAATATGCTTGAAACCAGTTTTTATACAACATATAGATGGCTGACTGAACCAGCAGCAGACAGATAGTAGTAAATAATGGAGCAATTTACCTTTGTGTGGATATTTATGTGGTACTTTACTGTATTCTACTCCACTGTGTGCCATAATGAAAATATTTTACATTCTACTTTTCACAAATATATGATTTTATTTTAAACAAGAACAAACAAAACCAAATAACAATCCACATTTTAGAAAAACACAACAAATGATAAAATAATACAAGTGACTTTTTGTTGGAGCTACATCCCCTCAAAAATGGCTTTCAGTATATGTGCTGTTCCTCTATGTGGAGGCTTTATCAATATTTGTCTTCTTCAGTGCTCAACATTTACTCTGCACATTTTTTCAAAAACAATAGTATTAGCAAACAAAACAAAAGCTGGAGTTCATTAATGTTTAATCATTTGTATTATATCTGTATCCTTCTGATTAGGAACCAAGCAGGTACAGCTTTTTTATCACATCAAGGTGCTTAACACTGTAACTTAAATGGACTTTTAGCTGTTATTTCTCAGTGGGATCCCTATGTGACCCCTTTGGAAACTTAATTGCCCTCCCCTGCTGTAAGGTAAAGACCTGCGATATTAGAGGGAAAAGACGAATGTTGAGAAGATCCCTTTGATCAAGCATTTGGCGACAGCGGAGGAAGAGCTCCCTTTTAACAGAAATAGTGCCAGGATCAGGGAGGAGCAGGAACCTGCAATGACCTGGTAAAGAGTGAGTCGAAGGAGAAGAAAAAGGAAAGGAAAGGGGAGAGGATAGAGACACTGGGACAAAATACAAACTATGGGAGAGAGTGGACTAATGTTAATGGCATGCAGCAGTAATATATGAACACACTGTGAGAGATAAGATAGAGTTAATATGGTCACTGAACAGTATAGTGGCCTGTAGGGATGAATATGATCTGTGAAACACTGACTGGACAGTCCTGATGTTTTGTTCTCCTTTCGGGTGTTTCAGGTCAGCTTTTTTATCTTTATAATGTCGTTCCTATCAGTCTCAGCTGAACGTACTGTGCTAATCTAAGCTATTAAAGTAAGATTGTGAATACTGTAAAGCGAACAGCTGCTGAAAAGCTTGTTAGTACTATCACTATGAACGTGTTACAAATGAGTTCAAAATCCGACTTCACAAAGATGTTAGCGTTACCGTGAACTCTGGACTCAACAACACTCAATTTACTGTTTTCACTGTGCCTGTTTTCTTTACAGGGCACAAAAACCAGTAATAGAATAAAAATTCAACCCCTAAAAGCAAATTAGGAGAACAGAGAAAGTCAGTTTAGTCACTACCTTTACTTCCACCTGTTCACTTTGTTTTTCTAATAATATTTTAGCAAAAGTTTGACTAATGTAGCCTTACATTGTCATTTCTATACCTTCACAAGTTCAGACTGAGAGGGAAACAGTTTTGTTACAGATGCTCGCATAAAATATAAACATGGAAAGTAAAGTAGACTCTATATTAAAAAATGAGTACTAATAAGTCACTCAAATTGCAATGTTAAATTAGAATTAAATATTAAAGTTAAAGCAATATTATGTACAGTACAGACAAGATATTGCAGACTAAGTGAAAATAGTTGTAGGTAAGGAGCAGTTATAACGTTTGATGGCCACAGATAGGAATGATCTCCTGTGGCTTTGAGGTTGCGTCATAGTTGAATTTCTACAACCAATGACTGTAGTGCGTTTTTAGCTAAACGTATAAGGTCTGAATGGGCTTTGCCCTCTTCTTTAAAAAATGATGTGATACTTTGGGGGTATTCTGAGGATGTTCTGAGTAATGAGCTGTGGTTGTGGGAATCCCCCTCAATAATAAAATAAGGGCATAAAAAGGGCCAACTTACACTGCTCGAATAGTGGTGTTTGGAAATAAAGAATATTAAAATACTTTAAGATTTTGAATTTTAGCGCTAAAAGAATATCAAATATCATGAAATTTTTCAGCTGAATACTGTATATGCTTGCCATATTTTAAGTAGGAGGTCTCTTGGTCAATTAAAGACTGAAAGTGATAGTTTGTGCTTAAGAAGTGGAGACAGGAGTGGAGGGGCAGTCCGGTGTTTATTGTAATATGGCATCATTTACAGTAATTAGGGGAAAGGGAAGTTTTATGACAAAATCCCCATGCTGCGGTGTAGAGTTCCTTAAAGAAACAAACAACACTGGCGAGATTGTGAAATGTACCACAAGGAATTGAAAAAGAAGGCTTTGTGCCCCATTCTCATTTATCTGCTCGAGAGGATTTGAGGAATTTGCATCACAGAGCGCGAGCATGGAAACAAACCCATCACAATGAAACTACCAACAAATCCCGGAAATCTGGCAAATAACACCCCATCGCCACAGGAAATATAACTCAAAAGGAGAGAGATCATGGAGAAAAAGTCCTCCTCCTTTTTCTTTTTAAATGTCTTCGGAGTCATGGAGGTTACTTTCCAAGTGTTTGGAAATCCGATGTCCATTTCTGCTCACTCATAACACATCCTCTAAAAAATAATCACCACCTCTGGGAGGTGAGTGGAATTTTACTGCAGCACGGTGGGAGTGCCTCTCTCGTTTACTCACATGATTAAACTGCTTTTCAGTGGTCAGTCTTTATTATAGCATTTGCTGTGACAGAGGGTGTGTCCATTGAAACCTGTGTGACAAAGGGCTGGTGTTTTATTAAGAAATTCAATAGATTCGCTCTCACGGGCGACTGCAGTTATCGATAACGTCTTGAGGTCAGCATGGGCTGATTTCATGGGTATTTTGTGTTGTGTTTGGTTGCCATGACGACACCGTGTTGAGAAAGAGGGGATGAGTAAAAGGGAAATTAAGGTTAAAATCACAGCCATTATAGTAAACTGAAACCAACTGATTCAGCCCTGCCAGCTGGGGTATTCAACAGGAGAGTTTTCCAAAGTATCCCGGGAGCGTGCATAGCTTACTAATGATCTTCCACTTCCCAGGAAAGCCCTATCTCCTGGAGATAAATACACATATCTCCACTGGACACACACACAGCAAATGGAAATGGGGGGGAAAAAGTGCCTTATCTCTATGAACAGAGCTCTCAATGTGGACACCGAATCCAAGAAAGTGGAACTGGATTTTGCCATTACAAACACACACACACGCAGCCACACAAAAGGTCAAACTGTTATCCTGTAAACTCTGCTGCTCTGTGGTGGATTCCAGACTCCCTCTTTTACACAAGAGGAACGTTTTGATCTGTGAACTTCAGACATTCATAGGCCTAAATTTCAATAACATTTTAAGTGGGCGACACGATGAAACTAATTCCCGGACAACAACTTCTTGGCAAGATGGGTGGGATACCAACATGCTTATATACAGATCTTTTCGAAAAATGACCGGCAAGCTTATGTTGCACACAGAAAAAATATCAGGAAACTGTTGCAACATGTACTGTCCCTCCCCTCAAAATCCCAAATGGCAGTTAGTCAGTTTTATAGTTGTTTCCACATTTTGTTTATGGTTCAGAGACAAGCTGTTTTTTTTAAAGATAGAAAACCATCATACCAAAAGCACGAGAAGAAGAAAATATCTCCTTATTCAAGTTTAGGAATAAGCATGAAGTTTTTAACGTAAACACACAAAACGAAGCAGCATATTTTAATCCCAGTTACATGTTGCCAGAGATAGTCAAAAATAGTAAAATTACAAGTTGTGCTCAGTTTGCAGTTGAAATCTAAAGATTTCTTGTTGAAAATTTTGCTTTTACATAAACTGATCAGCTAAGGCTGAATCAAAACAATGCTGAAGTTCAACAATTAGTGCTATATAATACATAAAGACACAGTCAAATGGTGTGCTGTTACCCAGTGGTTTGCAGACTTCCCTTTTTGAGGCCTGGAGTTAATTTCTCATCCTCGTCTTCTTTATTTAATAAACCAGACTTCATGATTGAGAGGTGGATCTGAAACAGGGGACATGAGGACAACTTCTCAATAACAGTTGTAACAAGGCATATCCTACTTTATGCTTGATTTGGACATGTTTACAAAATTTACCAAAAGAACATGTTTCACATATAACGTTAAAAAGTATTGATTAAAGTACATTTGGAAATTGTTTACTGAGGTCATAAAGCAAGTGTAAATTCAGGTCACGTTGTTACAGATCTCTATATAATTGGATATCTTTGATTAACCAGAGGAGCCAGCCTCTGTTGGATTTAGAAAAAAACAAATACATGTCCATGTGACTTTCTATGGTGTCTGCTTGCCATGTTGCTGCAGATGGATTCCTTTATGGACAGGTCATTTGGCTACTTTAACCTTTTATACCTTGTCTGTCAGTCCCATTCGCATGAACTTAATATCTCAGGAAAGCAAAATCTGGCGCAAACAGCCACTTGATCTCAGGGATGAACTAAGTCAAAGTCAAACAAAGTCAAACAAAGTCAAATGTCAGCAGGACCACACAAATACATATTTTTGGCCCTAACTCAAGAATTCATGCGTAAATGATGGCAAAATGTTTTGCACAAATGTGTGGTAGGATAACAGGATAAAGTGATGAAATTTCATATGCAGCAGGTCAAAGGTCAAGTCTGGTTAGACATGGATGTAAACTTGACTGATGAGCGATAGAACCACATAAATGCTTGGCAGTAATTCTAGTTTATTGCTCAGCAGGGCCAGCTGTTTCTTGTAAACACAATGGCATCATTG